AAAACAACAAAAAAACAACAAAAGACAGTAAGCAAAAACAAAAAAATTCTGATTAATCTGCACTTTTCCGTGTCGAATCTTGGTTAAGTGTTAGACTTGGGTAATGTGTCGCATCGCTATATTGGGAGATGCTGGAGATAACTCACTAGAACTGAGTAAACGCCTCCCCTCAATATGAGCCCTGATCATTATGGTCCCTTCTACACCAGGTACTGCTCTCGTGTCTTAAAGGCTGTTCTTTTACCTTCTTCAGATATCGTGGAGGCGAACCCCAAGGTGACATTAGTCTTGTGTAAACATCTTGAACAGCACTTCGGGTCTAATCCAGGTAACGCCTTTAAACTAAACCTGGTTCAGATTCTACATCCCAGTTAAATTTAGTGGGAAGAGAGACACTCTGTTGAATCTCTGGTAAATCCACTCACTATATGAACCAAGTTCAAAATGATCTTCAGTTCAACTTGAGGTTAAACTGAAACTTAAAGAAGCATCTCGTATTCCAGCGAGAAAAGTGGCGGTATGATAACCTATATGTACTTCTTTGATATAGTCGGCACTAATCGTCGTATTAAGTAGTCACGTGATTTTAGGAATTCTGAACTTCTACTGTAGGTTCTCCGCAAGGAACATCGGATTTGATGACTGGCATCAGTAGACGAACACCGTCCCCTAGAACTAAACAAAGATCAAAGTCACCCACTGTCACTCTACCAGTCGGCGGTCACGATACACCCTCTCCACCAGCGACAAGTAGTCATCCAGTGATGGACATCGAAGATGTTGCTCTGCTTGACTGGGTGGGTCAGATGACTGGACAAATCGTTGCTGATTATAATAGGTAGTACATGCGTATCATTCACCCTGTGACGTAGTGAGGCACGCGTTTCCAACACAGTTTACAGTTGCAACAGATTTTCTCTACACTGCAATACACCAGATGGTGTGGGGCTATATGTATATATATATATCTCATCTCTTTTCGGTATTGAACTATCAGTATTCATTATTGTCTAATATTATGCTTAGTTCCTGGTGTAACATCTCTTCAATCAACTCCTTCTGACGCTCTAAGTAAGACTAGTAACGACATCGTGGTACATGGAATTGTGGGTCTGAAGTCAAAATCAAAGCTCTTTCATGTCACGTCTCCAAAACACAGTCTTACAGCTCTCTCTCTCTCTCTCTCTCTCTCTCTCTCTCTCTCTCTC